CCGATGTGTTGGGCTAAGGGTGGAAGCAAAGACATTCCAACATTTCTGTTTTTAATAGGTCAAACAGTGGTCCAATGAAATGCAAGCACTGGTGGTAATTGGATAAGTAAGACTGATGCATGTCATTATCAGAGAGGATAGCACTTGAGAGGTGTGAAGTTTTGACCACTGCTTGCCGACTGGACAAGCGACCCTTGATCACACCAGCAGGGCCTTTGAAACCCCCCTCCACCCCCCCAAAATTCCCCTGTCTAAGACAGAAAATGTCTAGGATGGAATTTTTTTCTAGCACTCTTGCGATTCCCTCTTACACAGGTTCGACTGTACTTCTAAATGGCAATAGCAGCAGCAAACTTGTACAGCCTTCAAGAAAGTGAGATCATAGCATGGGAACAACAGGTTAGCCACTCATTTGCACCCTGTTCCTATAAGGCAAAGAAATATGCTTGATAAGGAAAAAGCATAACATGTTTCAGAAAATTATTTTGTAATATTGTCCAAATTCTGAGGTAAGTACTCAAATATCATGCAATAAATTTTGTAACGGGCTTTTATCTACAGAGCTGAGAATGGCATACCACAAAAAAAAGGCTGAAAACTAGGGGGGTCCGGGGGCATGCCCCCCCCGGGAAAATTTTGAAAAAACGATGTGCGTGGGCCAAAGTCACCACAGTTCTCCACGTAACTACCGGTACTCGATTGTCACAACTGAATGCGATTCTACCAGTAATGAAGAAAAATAAAAAGTATTCGATTGAATGGTATCGACCGACACACGGATGTACTCGCACCTCAGTTTCGTCCAGCGAGCAGTTAAGAAAACTTCTAAAATTAAGATCGTCTTTTATTCAATTTGTTTTTTTATTCTTACTATAATATTATTATAATACGAAACTCTGAAAAAGGCGGAAGAGGTGTTCCGATGAGCGGACGGCAGTGTTGCAATGAGCAGAATTCTGCCTTTAGGCGGACAGTTCTCAGACCTGATCTAGAACAATTTGATTACAAATGCAAAACGAAGGTACATCAATTAACTCTTAACAGTATAGCGTTGCAGAAAGGGAAATAATTTCAACATTCCACGCCATCCTCCCCTGGCACAAAACAGCAGTTCTGATATGTATGCAAACTCTTAGCACACAGAAAGAGTGTCAAGACAATGGTGTGGCAATACAGGAGATTTGTTTCATTTTTTTTTTTCCTTCATTCATTCTCTCCTAAGAATCCAGAATATTATTCATTTATGGAAGCAAGAAAATCCATTTACTCTTTCGTTAAACTTAAGAACATGGCACAAGTCGAAACATATTGCACTTTAAAGCGCTAAACATAAAAAATAAATGCATGGTAACACACAATTATAGGACTGACATATGACTGTGAAAAGAACCCCAGCGTTAGATCTAGATATGAGTGTCAAACTGGACAAAATAAGTCACCTGTCAAGTCTTGAATTTATGTAGCAACATGGATTAGAAATGAAAGATCTATTCTTAACTTTAAAGATGGGGAGGGGGTGGGGGGAGGGAGTACATATATTGCTAGTGTTATGCTCTATCTGTGTAACTAAAAGAAATACGTTAACTTTTTAAAAAAATTCTAAAACCCTAACCAAGGTCAATTTGCAGGTCCTAAAAAAAGTAAATCAGAGTCAGAATGCTTTCTTAAAAGCATAAAAGTAGGCCTACTGATGGCTAACCTTGAGCGATATTTCTCTTAACAATTTAAATCAGAATGTTTTGGGATTTTTGGCCAGCTGTGTTGAGAAATGTTCTTTGTTTTTTGTTTTAGCACAGGTTTTACGTAACTGCATAAGATCATATGAGCGCCAAGGGGTGGATGTCAACAGAGAAGTCCATACAGGGAATCAGACTTACTCTGCTCACCTCTTTTGCTTCAACAGCACAAAGTAGAGGAAAAATGACGATAGTCAGGATTAGGAACGAAAAAGAAGCAGTTCCCTGTTGTAGTTCAGGCACAGTTATGAGCATGACATTGATGAATCAGCCCATTTACGATTACAGTTCTACTGTGCATAAGAACATGGTTCCCCCTTTGGGAATGGCCTAAAGACACTTGAAAAATGTTCATGAAATCTGTTACACAAATAGAGCAGAACATTTTCAATATAAGTCTGGCAGTTGTGGTTTTAAATTTATAGATAGGAAGTCTGAGAAATTATTTATTTTTTAAAAAAGTAGTGTCAATAAGTTTGAGCCCCTCATCATTGTTGCCAGATCTCTTAAAACATCAGAATAGGCCTACCACAAGAGACTCATCCTGTTATGTCAGCTCACATTCATACTTTTGAACATAGCAAATCAACATTATAGAGAGAAACCACCAAATAATGAAGGGCAGTTTACAGCAAAAGAGAACCATAGCCACCACATTCACATTTTACCGGTAACAGAAGAGAAAAACAATAACACTAAGAGAAGTATAATTGGCAGGCTTAAGCAGTGCATCCACCTAACACCCACAAATTGTTAACAAAGGATTTTTAAAAATATTTTTTTCCCCGATCCAGCAGAAAGAGGATAACATGAGCTCCAAACCAGCTGCAAAAAGCATTTGAAAACTCTCATTTGAATTTGAAACCAATCAAGATCAATCTTAACAAGACATCAATTAGTGTCACAAAGATGACCAGCAAACATGACAAGACTATGTACTGTTATACAATCCATTATCATAATAATACCTGTAATAAAGCGCAAAACTGACTCTTAAATTCTAAAAGTAGAACATTCACTACATGAATGACTGATATGACTTAAGATTCAGATAACTGGAAAAACATATGTGAGGAATAGTGGTGAAATCAGCCCTCGCCAGAATAATAAAATCGAAGATATCATTTTTCTGATGGTTTGGCAAAATTTTCATAGAATTTTTTTTTGGACAGAAAACCTTTTATGTCAAATTTAAAACACATTTTTGTAGGGATTTTACTGGAACACCTTTATCAAAGACAAAAAATTTTAATTTTCTCTTTCCAAAGACTCTCAAGCTAAGAATATCAACAAATTTGGCGGCCATTTGCAAGCTAACTTTACCTCTGAAACTAAGTGATTCAACCTCATTCAATCACAAATATCTCCACTTCTATTCAAGACAGATAAGTCTTTTTTTAAAATCAAAGATAGACAAATGAACAAGCTATAAGATGACACCAATAACTCAACATGCTCAAAATTTGAGGAGGGCTTGATTCTATCACATCATGACACATATGCTCTTCAAAAGCTTATGTTGAATGAGAACAAAACCAGAGTATAAAAAGAAGAGAACATTGAAAAGCAAAGACGTTGCCCACCAACATTATTTCCCATCCCCATTTTCCTTCATGGTGTCATCAAACAGCATAATAACATTCCTAAAAATTCTGGATACAAAGCAGAAAAGAAATAGTCAATCATAAAGAAAAAAGACATCAGAAATATTGAATCACATAAAAGAAAAGATAAAAGAGAAACATTTAAAAAAAAAAAGATTCCAGAACAATCCATTACTTTTTCCACAATTCCAAAAGCAAAACTAGGGTGACAATATTTCGAAAACGAGGAAGAAGAAGAAAAGGATGCCTGGATGAAAGACTCTGATAAATACCATTTTGCAATTTGGCACTTGTCAGGGACTTGCACACAACCAGTTAAGTTTTTTTAGCACTTTTTTAAATCGCACAAATCAGGGAAGAACACATTTCACCTATCTGAACACTGGAAAGAAAACCCTTAAAAATGAAGCACCCAGATTCCAGCCATGACTGCCTTCTTTCATTACTTTGATCATAATTGTTGCACTTTTTTATATTTATTTAGCACCAATATAACACTTTCGTTTGGTCTCGTGACACAATGCAGCGAACAACATCAAAAGAAAATCTGTAGATCAGCAGTACCCTAAAGCAGGGGAGAAAAAAAAAAGTAGGATCTAAATGTGGCACCTTTTGACCACCCGCGGATAGTGTTTTGCAAGCCAGCAGAGTACTAAGGGCTTCCATGACAAACCAACAAATATATAACAATTGGCTACAACATGTTTTCTAAAATCAGGAGAAGTAATAAACCTTCATTGCCTTTCTCACCCTGGATCAGGAAATAGGCCATGAACACTTTCCACCTTTCCCTATCCTGGGCTAGTCGCCAGAAGTCACTCCATGTCTTCCCACTTTTCTGCACATCCATTTCCGTGACTCTTCTCCAAGTTTCACGTGGTCTTCCCCTTGACATTTTATCCTGTGGGTTCTATAAACCTTAGACATGGCAAAAGGTTTCCACAGTAACATATTGATTAGAAATGCCGGTATTCAAAAACATCACAAAAATGATTTCAAAAGAAAACACTTAAAGTTATAATATAGAATGGACATAATAATTGAATAGCCAAAAAAACAAACAAAAGAAATGTTAAAATCATCACTGTTTTCTTCAATGGTTGTGACTTAAAGACAAAATTGAACCGCTAAATACCCTGCAAGAAATAAGTACGCATTTAGTAGGCCTACTATTACAGAGGGTTTTTTAATGTCATAATCTCTCACAGTCATTGTCATTATTCTTTATTGCTGGGAAAAGTTATCTTCCTCTACAACATGTGAAGAGCCAGGAAACAGACAAAGATGTGCCTCATTTTGTAAAATGGATGAATCATATAGGATAATAAGAGATTTCCATTGGTACACAATAACAAAACTGTCCAACTTAAACTGAAGATACAAACTACTTACAAAAGATGGCATATCTCAATGGGTCCAGATGAAAATTAGGTGGAAATTAACTGAAGCAGACTTGCTTACAAAAACTAGAATTTCTCAAGAAATGCGCAACATTTTCTTATCTTATACATAAAATGAAAAATATCAATATTTCAGCTTTATCCACGACGGTCACAAAGTAACTTTCTTTCTGTCTCTCTCAACCTATAAGAAATAATTAGTTTTGGCTGGCAACATGATACAAGGCAAACGAATTGGGAAATATAACGTACCATAAGCATGTTTTTTTTTTTACTTGTGCACACATAATTTAAGTAGACATGACCTTACAAATCCAATCTGCAAAGTAAACAAATGTTGAAACTGAAACTAATATTAGAATTTCTAATAGAACTCACCTCACACCACCTCACAATCAATCAGTATTCTGGTTAAATGTGTACGCCCTAATACCAAGAAAACAAATTAAATCTTTCATTTCAAGTTGACCATTATAAAACCATCAAAACACTTCTAAGACATACGTATTTGTGTGCTAAAAGGATATGAAATATAATGTACTCTAGGTTCTCACATTTGCAAACGTTGTTCGATTGTCAGAATAAAAAGTATAAAAATATACCTCCTTCCCTCAAAAGAAAATTGAAAATTAAACAAATCAAAATTTTAAAAACAATCTTAATAAATACATTGGCAGCAAATAAAAATCTTTGACTTCAACATGTTAACAGGAAAAATAACCATTCATCAGATCACAGCTTGGAACAATCATACACTACCTTTCAATCAATACGCTATAACATATATAAACACAATTTGTGTTACAGTGCACAGATTAATTCAATTTATCAGATTTGCTGATGTAGCACAACTGTAGAAAAACATATAACACAGCATTTTGTAAAATAAAAATCAGTGACCATGGAATCAGAGTATTGCCTGCAACGAAATAAATCTATATTGAAGTTGAAGCAAAACATATTAAATTATTGTGGGTTAACATACCAATTGCAACTACAACTTTTCTACATGTCATCGAAACTTACACTCTCATCCATATTGCATTTTCAAGTCTGTCTTTGGTTCAATAGAGAAAAATCAAAACCTTAACAATGAAACACATACACACACCAACACACACACACACCACACACACACACCACACACACACACACACACACACACACACACACATATAAATATGTACTGAGATAACAACACTGTTTCTATTTTTCACCCCATCCAATTTTGACTGCAGACGGCATAGGCATCTCCGAGGCCTGTAAAGGGCACTCAAAATTCCACTGAAATGGATAATTCCCAATAAAAAAAAGCACCATAGTCCGAGCTGCATGCCACGAATTTCAGTGCAAAGCATCCAAACTCTTCGACACACATGAAAAAGTCCATGGAATCACAACAGCTGATATGCAATGGAAAAAAATATGATCTGCTCACACATTATAATGTGGTTCCTGAGGTAGAACGGAGAGGGGAATGTGTTACGTATACCTCCCTAGAACCATGTTGCTCATAAAAGGGGACATCTGAAAGAAAGAAAGTAAAATGAGTTAAACGGACTTCCATAAAACTGCCAAAACCTATGACAAACCTGTTAATACTACAACATTGCACTGGGCCAAAAGGCCAAAACTCATGAGTGACTGTGCAGGAACAAAAACAAAACAAGAGTAGATTTTTTTATTTTATGAGATAATTTTTATCAGAAATAAAATAATAGTCGCAGCAAGGCTGCATATTGTTAGAGAACGAATCCCTCAGCTCTCCCACAATACATCGTTGAGCACTGAGTCTGTGCGTGACCAAAACCTGTCAACCATAGTCATGGTATATAAGAAATTGCCTCTCTTACCAGAAAAATTCCAAAGGAAAACATTTTCATACATGCCGCTCTCATTTCTAGTGAGGAACTAACAAAAGTCAACTGTCTGAGACTAAAAATTTCAAGGCATTTACAATGTTAAAACAATAAAAAGTGATTTCTGTTCCAATAACACCCTAGCAGCTACAATTAAGATTTAAATTAAAATAAAATACCACGACCCACATCTCAAAGACTATATTAGCTTCTGCAATATACTTGAGTACAAAATGATATTTGAAAGCATCAAAAGTCTGTTTTGTTTGACCATTAAAGTTCCCGTCCCACAAAAAGCGTAGCTGTAAGTATTTTTAGTCTTTTAAACAGTAAAAGAAGTTTTTGTAAGGAGAGATGGAATTACACTGTACCGCTATGCAGGCAACAATGGCCCAAACCCCGAATGGGGCATCCAGAAATTTGGGGAGTTTGAGAAGTTTTCACTGCCCATCAATCTTTCGGCTCAGTCTTCCTGTACATGGGTTTTTAAAAAAAGATCTTGACTCACAAACTACCAACAGGACAGAAATGGGTGCTAAATTCATTCTATACCTTGCCGTAACTATAAGCTCACCTCAGATTTGTCGTTCAAGGCCTCTGCAATCATTTTCTCAATATTCCTCATGATGGCCACTTTCTGGCCAGCTGTCAGAGGGTACACAACCTTCATCGTCTGAGCAGCCTGTCAGAAAAACAAAGAGCCCATGAATGAATTTTCTATATTGAAGATTTTTCTAGTTTAATAGAATACAAGTGTAGTGTTGAGGAAATGTCTTTATTGCAGTTCACATAAAAATTCTGATGATCACTTGTCGATGATGTGGAGATGAGGTTAATGGCTCAGCTCAACTTATCGAGCCATAGAGTCAATAGTGACCATGTCAAAGTTCAACTTTTTTTTACACATTCCAGAAATCGATTCTCCTATTCTGATGAGACATCAAAGACATCTATTATTTTTATTGACATCACTCCTAAAAATACCTCTATCTAACATTAATCTATGTGACGCCAAAGAGGGAAGACACCCGACTCCACCCTGAAGTTACCTACACAATACAAGTCCAGCTGACAAAATACTTTTCCCTGATTAATCTTTGTCAGATAGTAGAAGAACAAATACCTAGAGGGCAATATTCTCTCTTTAAAAAAAAAACATTTTCACACTATGTCTCCATCATTGCATTTGATTTCCAAATAATATAAAGAAAGCTCTTGAAGCAGCTCAGAGGCACAGTATTCACTTAAGACAGCCCCTCCAACCATCAGTCCAATTCAGGGACAAGAGCTGAAAATGGTTTCGCTTTCTCCAACACATTACTTAACACTCCACATCAACATGTCAAAGCCAAAAAAAAACTAAACAGTTAATATGTAAGTATATTTATAAGAGAAAACATAGCTGCATTTACTTGCAATATGAATAGAGAGGACCAAAAAAAAAAAAGAGGAGCCAGTTGAAAAGCAACTTCAAAGACAAAAGTAATGGCTGACTGACCTTGTACCAAAATGTGATAGAGATCGTCTCTCCATGGCCTGATAAAGACTCAACTTGATGCCACCTGTAAAACACCAAAGTGAAATAATTTAGAGCTGAGATAACTATGCTAGCCAAGTAAGACAACAAAAAGAATGGAGAAAAACAAAACAATTTCAGAATGCTCGATTTCTTGGGGGGGGGGGGGGGGTTAGGCATCTTACTACTAATGGAGCTAAGGCCAAATTTTGCGAACAGTATATTCTCTGAAACTACAGACTGAAAAAATATGAAACTTTGCCAGTACCCATAACTTGAAACGTTGTGTTGCACTATTGTATTTTCATAAAGATCAAATGTGTAAGAAGAAAGCCCATTTTAAGTTAAAATTCAGTCCTTTTGTAGCAATCGCCATCATTTGCTTCAACATTGTATATTCAGTGCGGAGTGCCGACAGCGCCGAAGGATATTTTGTGTCCAGTTAGGTACATTAAGTAGATTTACGGGAATTCCCGGTTTCGGTCTCACGCCTTTGACAGCGGGGTTTGAAGCTCTCATAGAAGGAGGAGGAGGGGGAGGAGGAGGAGGAGGAGCAGCAGCAGGAGGAGGAGGGGGAGGAGGAGGAGAAGGATGAGGAGCAAGAGGATTAAGAGGAAGAGGAGGGGGGAGAACAAGAAGAAAAGGAAGGAGAAGAAGAATCTAGTAGTAATACATGTTATAAAGTGGGGACTTTTTCGTTCGTTACACTACCTTGGGGGAGAGAGAGAGAGAGAGAGAGAGAGAGAGAGAGAGAGAGAGAGAGAGAGAGAGAGAGAGAGAGAGAGAGAGAGAGAGAGAGAGAAGGAGAGAGAGAGAAGGATAAAGAGAGAGAGAGAAGGAGAGAGAGAGAGAAAAAAAAGAAGAGAGAGAGAGAGTGAAAGGAAGAGATAGAGGAGGCCAGAAAACACAGCAGAGGGAGGGTGGTGAGAGTGACAGGGAGGGTGTCGTTGAAAACCCCAAGAGTAGCCTACCGTAGGCCTACTTAATGTATTCATGGGTCAAAGTCAAAGGTTCAGCCCGGTTTACGCCTTGCTTGTAGTCGCATGTGTGTGTATGTCTAGATCTAATATCTAGATCAAGATTCATACAATCTTGAAAGTATTGAAAGTAGATTTCTCCTGCAGCGGATTTAGCACGCACGGCGAACTGCGCTGAAGGATATTTTGTGTTCAGTGTGTTCGTGTGTAGATCTATGTCTCTAGATCTAATATCTAATCTAGATCAAGATAAACCATGAAAGTATTGAAAGTAGATTTCTCCTGCAGTTGATTTAGCGCCCACGCCGAGGGATGAGTGTATTTTGTGCACAGTAAATCGAGTTCAAGAAGAATCGTGAAATGAAAGTAGAATCTAGATCTAGATCTGTTATATTTCGATAACCTATTGAATATTGAAAGTGGATTTTTCTTGCTGTGCATTATAGATTCTAAGATCTAGATCTAGATCTAGGCTAGATCTATATGTGAATCTCAGATCGAGATCAAGAATGATGAAAGTATTGAACGTGGATTGTTTCCAGTTGTGAATAGATATAGAGTTTAGAACTACGCTGTCGGTGAATCTAGATCGAGATCAAGAATCATGAAAGTATTCGTGAAAGTGTATTTTTCCTGCTGTGAAAAGATCAAGAAATCTAGGCCATCTGTGACGCCTGTTGGTTGTTAAAAAATGTGAATTTCGAAACTTAGATCTATCTATGGGCCTGGGCTCCTTCTTTCAATAATTATTGGCCTATGTGTTTATAACCCTTCGAGATCTAGGCTAGATCTAGAATCTAGATTAGGTTCTTCTAGGAAGCAACAATTGGCATGTAGCCTAGGCCTAGCCTAACTCTTTTTTTTAAAGTGATTGAGCTGGAACTTTAGGAGAAAATACCACGCCTTCGAAGAGGAGAAGAAGTCTTACCCCTAGAGGTAGTCAAGAGGGGATGTTACATGGATAAATTCATGGTAAAATATTTATGTTTCATTTCTTTCTTGTTTTCAGTCTTTTTCCTCTTCTTATCTTTCCTAATACTTCTTCATTATTATTCCGTTCGTAGAACGGGTACTTTTACTAGTGCATACTAAATACACCAGTGGATTTTTTTTAGTAGAGGTTTTATGGCGCTCCTAACTGCATGAGGCCGTATGAGTGCCACAAGATTAAAGGTGTTACAAGAGAGTAACAAACATAAAAAAGAAAAAGGGGAGATAAGGACAATAGATCTTTGATAGGAAAGAAGAAGCAAACCACATCAGAGCACCCGCCAACCACCCACACACCAAAGTAAGAGTGTGCGTGCGTACGATTGTGAGTGCGTGTGTGTGTGTGTGTGTGAGAGAGAGAGAGAGAAGAGAGAGAGAGAGAAAGAAAGAAAGAGAGAGAGAGAGAGAGAGAGAGAGAGAGAGAGAGAGTACACAGACAGACAGACAGACAGACAGACAGACAGACAGACAGACAGACAGACAGACAGACAGACAGACAGACAGACAGTTAGACAGACAGACAGACAGGCAGGCAGGCAGGCAGGCAGGCAGGCAGGCAGGCAGGCAGGCAGACAGATAGGCAGACAGACAGACAGACAGGACAATTCTTACCAGTACATTGGAATATACAGTACATCTTTTGGACCAACAATGCCTTCATATCCTTTCAAATCAGCAAACTTTGGGAATTTCTCAAAATCAGGATTATCGAAATCCACCTGAAATAGAAACAGTAAAACGAAAATTATTTTTTTAAATAACCTGTAACGATGGGCAAACATGGGGGTTAAAAATTTCAATTTCAGCTGGAACCCTGCGGGAAAAATGATGAAATTCCCATAATCCTCATATAAGTAGGTTCTACTCCCATTTCTTAATAAGTACATCTCATCCCTACAGTTCTGCATATCCTTAGGAGCTAAGGATAAGGTTATAAGAACTCTCTTTTTATCAAATCAACAGCCAGAGAGGATATCAAATGACTTCCAAAAAAAGGTCTTAAAAGTTCATATTTTTGCAAGCATATCTGATCTTCATCATAGAATTCAAAACATTCTATAATGAAAGTATAATTTCTGTATACAATCTTCAGCAACATGCAATTTCACTTAGAATGACACACTTTCATGTCAAACAACAACGAGAAAAGCTTGTTATTAGATCCTGCAGCAAAACTAGCAGGTGTGCTCTTTGTCATGTATTTACTTTTAAAACCTAACATAGTCTCAGCACTGTTTTACCCCTTTCTATTATAAAACCTTGTGACGGAGCAAGAAGAAGAAAAGAAAAAAAGAACAACAAAAAGGAGAAAAAGATCAACAAGAAAAGGAATGGAGGAAGAGGATGGGGAGAAGCCAGGGAAGTGAGAGGGGGTGAGAGAGAGGAGGAAAGTGAAGGAAACAGAGGAAGAAGACAGGAGAGAAGAGAAATGAAAAAAAAGAAGATAAAAAAAAGGTTCAGACCTGACTCTGCCTGTCGTGTGGGTGGTAAATGGGGTACGGGTACAGGCACTCAAACTGGTCTGGGTCAAAGAGCAAAAAACGTTTGTAACCCTGAATCTGGGCAAACAGGTTCTCTTGCTCATCATAATGGGCAGGCGTGATCACCCCTGGTGGCAGTACAGAGAAAATCCATTAATCAATCAGTCTGAATGGACCATGGAAAAGCATACACTAAAAACCTAAGGCAACCAACACTATCAAAGTAATCAATAACTTGGAAAATTTTACAAAGACAGTAGCCTTATCAGTCAAAACTCTTCAGTCCGAGTTGAATGAGGGGTCCCATTCATATTTGTTAAGCTGCAATCATCATCATTGCCTTTCTCACCCTGCACCAGGGTATAAGCCACGGACAAACACTTTCCACCTTTCTCTATCCTGGGCTAGCCTCTTGATGTTATTCCATGTCTTCCTTCTTTTCTGTACATCAATTTCTGTGATTCTTATCCAGGTTGAACGCAGTCTTCCCCTTGATCTCTTACCCTGTGGATTTCAATCCAACACTTTCTTTGTTATGCAGCTGCCTGACCTCCTGGGAGTATGTCCAATCCATCGCCACTGCCTTCTTCCTACCACATCTTTGACTGGGATGTGTCTTGTTTTCCATAATACTTCCTCGTTGGTGACCCTGTCTGTCCATCTGATCCTCAGTAACTTTCTTAGACACTTGTTCAAGAAAACCTGGATCCTATTTATGCAAGTCTGTGATGCGTTCCATGTCTCATATCTATACAACAGAATTGACTTCACATTTGGATTGAAAACCCAAAGCTATACCATTTTTGAGCCCTCTGGTGGTTTTCTTCATCAGCCAATTGACTGCCAATATGAAGAGGAAAGGTGATAGTAAATATCCCTGTCTCACACCAGTCTGTCTTGACGTCAAACCTGTCAGTGAGCTGGCTATCATGTATAACCCTGCAACTTGTCCCTTCGTATGCTGCAATGTGCTAATGATATTACTATATATTTCAAGAACTGTTTACTTTTCGAAGAGTCCAAGTTTACACTGATGTCTCAGTTTTACCTCATACAAAAAAGACAAGGTCTTTAATAAAGATATACTAGGGCCAGTAAGAAAAAAATTCATTGACAGCAAGTTAAGCAACCAGAAGAGTAAACATATTATGTATGAATGTGATCCTTGCAATGTTGAAAGTTACTTTTCAAACTAAAGTACACTACCTTCCATTCCAACAAGCAAAAGGTTTGAGGTCAAAGGGCCCCATCTGTTGGTCTTCTGCTGTTGATTTGCCCACTCCCAATTGAAGTTAGTGAAATCCATGACAATCCATTTGCCTACTGTGTCATTCAAAGGTTGCTGCAGGTACATTCTGTTTAAGGGAGCAAGGAAAAGGTCTTGGTGCTATTCATTTCAAGTGTGACAGAAATTTTCCATTATACAAATTGGAAGTAAAAAATGTATGCAAGACCCCCCCCCCCCCCCCCCCCCCCGACATTGCCATTTCAAAATATTATCGTAAAATAGAAACTGTTTTATCACATTGAACGCAGATTTCTTTTTCTATCAGAGCACTTCTTTCTTTCTTTGGGGCAATCACCCTGGGCCAAGGTATGTCAAAGTTAGAAGAAGTGGCCAGGGACAACCTGCACAGTACAGAGAGAGTAAACAGTAAGTTACTTTTGTGACAATTTTTAAAATGATGATAGCTCTTAGACTTTTTGTGGTTGCTCTTCAACATACCCCAAACCTGTCAGGCTGAAATAGTTGTTGGGCTTAAAATAGCTAAGGCTCAAATGTGTTAACTATTCCTAAATAGAACTTTGATTCTAAAGGTCATACAATTCAACACAGAAGACAGTCCAGTCTATTACCTTTCCTTCTCATTATTTCTCTCCTGTTTCAATTTGGCAGCAAATTCCTGGAAGGTCATGTCTGTGTGTGAAGTTGGTGGTTTGAAATCTTTGTTCTCAGGCATTTTCTTCTCATCATAGTACTTGAACTTTCCTGAGCTAGAGGTGTACACAGTATATTGACCACAACCAAGGTTGGAACACAAGTAGTCCATGTCCCAGTGATAAGCCGAGCCAACAAGGTTAGATCCCGTCAAGATCACTGGTTGCTGAAAATAAAAACATGATAAATCAGAGGACGGTCCACTTGAATTCCACTCTTCGATTTGGCAATGACAAGGTCAGAGGAAGACCTAGTGAGCACTGCTAAATTTAGCTGATAAGGGTTCTCCACCAACACAGTAGTATTATTACACTACAAGATCAATAATGTTCAACAGCAAGGTGGCCAAATGTTTTCCATCAATAAAGACCACGATGAACTAGGGGGTATCACCAAAAGCGTAAAAAGTTAATGGTAATGTCAAAGTGTAGTAGGTATGGGCCGAAGGTGTGGGTAAAAGTCTGGAAGCAAAGAAGAAAAAAATAAAAACTACGAGTACAGGGGAACTTGAAATAGAATCGGTGATCAAAAAGAAAACAATAATCCAGAACCGTTTCACTAAAAGTACAAGGTACAAAAGCTTTTTCTGATTTAATTTGCCAGAATGCCTTTATAATTTTACCCTCTACAAGCTAATAAAATTGTAATAAGCCCAGAAAGCACGATTTTACAGGTGAAAAAAAACAACTGCTTATTCTTTTAACAATTGAACTTACATTATATAATTTTTCTTGCTTTTTTCCAACATCTAAAATTTGAATGTTGAACAAATATTTCTTGAGCGCTTGCACCCAGTAAAACGCTCTAAAAAATTATGGACTCTTGAAAATTGCTTCAGAATAGAGAGAATATTGTTCAGTCCAAATTTCCTCCAGCCCTCAGTTTACTATCTCTACTTCAGATTCATTTCATCACAAGCAACCACCCCCCCTGCCTTGGAGATACTTTGGGTACAAGTTCCCATTATCAATTATCAACCAAACTTTCTGAGCTCTCAATATAACTGACAAAAAATGCAAAAGCAAATTTTGACTTCAACTCAGTTCCTGCAAATTTGCACCCGCACCTTTGTTCTATCCATGACCCACTTTCATTTCCCAGTGAGCAATCAAGCACTATCCCAGATAAACCGAAGTCAGTATGCCACCACATGAGTTGATGACACAGTGTCAATTGCAAATGATGAAAACATAGCACTCTTTCACACTAGACCAAAAGTAGTTAAAAATAACCCTTCTTGAACATTCACAATTATGTATGTTTCATTGAGGTACACACACACAAATTATAACCATTCTAAAAATTAAACGGGTGACATTTGAGGGATTTATCCTCTATGGTTCAAAGGGAACAAAATATTATCTAATTTCCAATTCTATATAAAAAAACATTTTTCTTCAGATCAACTACTTGTTTTATATATAACCCTATCATTGCCAGGGAGTGTGCATTCCTACACTAATTACTGTAAGGTCAGTATTTTCAGCTAAGCTCGTTAGTCAGCACAGCAGTCTCATACCTCACTGTTGGTGGACTCCCTGTCTAGATCTAGCCCACTCATGGAATCATATTTGGACCCCGGATCTTCAATGGTGTCACTTTCCTCATTCCTTATATTAGATCTACACATCTTATCCATAATTTCCAAAAATTTGAAAATTTAAGTGAAAAAGTAAAATTTGTTGTCTTTTAAAAATAATTTTTGTTTTTAGGTTTTGAAAGAGCACGCTGTCTCCCGGAGGACTTGACCTGTGTTTATCCATTGTTTGCAAGCCAAACAGTAAAGTAATAGTGGCAAATTTGGTATCAATATATGTGAGGCAGCGTGGTGGAATCAGGCACTCGTCAATTTTTGGGCATGAAGAGTTATCGGTGTCATCTTAAATCTTGTTCACTTGTCTTTATTTAAATGAAAAAAATATCCATTTATCTTGAATACAAGTCGAGATATTTGCAAATGAAGGAGGTGGGGGTCACCTGTTTTCAGAGGAAAAATTAGTGAGAAAATGGCCGACAAAGATTTGTTATTTCCTTAGCTTAAGAGTCCGCGGTAACTGAAAATTTACATTTTTTGTTCCTTTAATCAACGTTTTTAAGAAAAATCCAAACAGAAATGAGTTCTTGAAAGGGCATGAAAGGTGTGGAGCCAAAAACAAAAATTTGATAAAAATTCACAAACCTGCGGAAAAATGCAAGTTTCTTCACTCTGATTATTTTGACCAGAGCCTGATTCCACCACGCTGCCTCACATATATATTTGCTAATTTTTTACTCCCAAATTTACATCTATGTAGTGCTTGTGGCTATATCTTACAGAAAAATTAGAGCTAGTTGATTATCAGTTGATTGGCACGTAATGCGGCAAATTTTGTAAACTTTCGCGACGTTCATGGTATAGCACAAAGCTAAAAATTTTTTATATATATATATATATATATGAGCCATTGCCAAAACGTTGGGAAAAACACACACATCTCACATTAGTGTGCATAAAATGTGATGTACTAGTATTTATTATTCCAAAACTTATACACATGTCAAATATAGGATGTAGAACCTGCATTAGCAGTTTCAGACCCCATGTCAGCTTTACAATCTTGAGCTCGTAAATGTTTTGCCAAAAATGTTCATTTTTTAGTGATTCCTGGACTGTCATTTTCAGCACACCAATGCAAACTTCCAAGAATGTCCAAAATTTAGTATTTTTGGGTGTTTTATTTTTACGTGTGCTTTGATCCTATGCTATTTGTCATTGAGAAAGGTTAACTTGCTCAAGAAATCGGTTTATTTGTTTGTAAATAAACAAACAATTCGGATCACTTGTGCGTCAGTCGTGTCGTCACGGACTAGGTGTTTAAAAAAACTCCATTATTTTTCAGTAGAATCACCGTAGCTGGTTAAATCATTTTGCTTTTCATTGTTTATTCAATACTTCAAAAGCCGCAATGCGCGAAAGGAACATCGGGTTCCTAGATCTACGATTTCGGTCGGCTGTTTAACTGAATTCGTCTATTCTGCCGCTGGCAGCGGCTCTGAGTTGATCCGCTGCCTCCATTTGGCTGCTGTGAGCAGCTCAACGAAATCCGAAACAAATGTGCACTTTTTAACATAGTTCCTACTTTTTAAGTTGTCGAAAGGAAGTGGAACTTGTAAACAAACCTGACCTCAATCTCTGAGCACCAATATCGATTGAAACTCCGCGAAATTCTTGCAAAAATCGTTGTTTTGTTGTCGCGATGTAGGCTAGATCTAAGGGTAAACAACACGGAGCCTGGTATAATAAAAAGGCTCTTCAAAGAAAGATATTCAACTAAATTTATGAAATTCTTGCATAAATGTATGCTAGGGTCATATCGCTACAATGTTGTGTTGATTCCTATGGATTATAAGGACTTGTAGAGCTGAGAAAATGAGGTAAGTTGAAATTTTCTAAGAGCTGTTGCGCAATTTTTTTTTCTCATTCGTTTTTGTCAGAGGGAAAATGCAATACAAACAGATTATAGGTCATTGTTATTGATATAAACATATTCTTCTATTTATTCCCATCAGTTTGGTATATGACAATACCTATTAGGGGGGCTCTCGTGGCCTAGAGGTTAAGGTGTTCGCCTCTCATTCAAAGGTCCCGGGTTCGAATCCGGGTAGCGACCAAAACATTTTCTTCTCTAAATTTGTCTCCTTTCACCTCCTTT